GAATTAAAATCAAGTGAACTTATTTTTATAAATGCATATTGTGCAAAGAATAATGAAAAGAAATCAACCTTAATTAAATCAGCAATTGAGAAGCAATTTGATTCTATCGCAAACTTGTCATTTGGTCCAGAATATTTGATAAAACTTAATCCAAATATGATAATGACTTTTTTGAAACACTTGTCTGATCAAATTTATAAAGAAATTGTCTTAGAAAAGATTTTAAATGTTTGTCCTGGACTTATTGATTGTTGGTTAATGCTTGGAAATATTCAAAATACTAAAAAAGCTTATAAATCATTAGAAAAAGTATTAGAACTAGATCCTACAAATTCAGAAGCTCATCTTATGGTTGCTAATCTTTTAATAAAGCAGGTAAATAGTTGTTGAATCCTATTATTAAAGAACATGGTTACAACCAAGTACCTACCTCTTCATAGAATGTTATACTTATTTAACCAATTTTGTCTCATTGCATTCATCTATTTTTTACTTCATTGTTTCTACTTATTAATTTAGAGATGTCTGCTTATAAAACTATTTTCTATGTATATATTATGTAATTATTAAAACATATTTTTATTTTATTTTTAGGGTCATTTTGCAAATGCATCTAAAAGCTTAGATTTGGGGCTTAGCTATAACTTATCAATTAGCGAGTGGCCTTTATATAATCTTTTAAATGGACTTGTTCATAAACATTTTGAAAGAAATAATGAATGTATTCAAGCTTTAGAAAATTCTTTGAATAATTTATCAAGTAATAATATTTAATTGATTCTGAGTACTAAGATGATAAATACAATTAACAGTAAACTTTATTTATTTTTAGATGAACATACACTTGAACATAATAATTTAGCTTCTTTGTTTATTACACTCAGTGAATGCTATTGTATAGGAAAAAATATTAATAAAGCTATTCAAACTGTAAATAATGCTTATGAATATTTGAAAGATACAAATTATGAAGAAGAAATTAAAATAGCTGAAGCAAAAATTTCCTTATTCAAGAATGATACAAAAAATGCTTTAAAAATATTAAATTCCATAAAATCTGATAAAGATATTTTCATAAAAGCCCAAAAAATGAAGGCTGATATTGTTATGAAGACTAATCAAGATCCATTTGAATATGCCGAATGCTTCAAAAATTTAGTTAATTCTTTTCCCACTGTTGATAATATGATTGAATTATCAAATGCGTATTTAAAAATCCTGGAACCCGATGAGGCTATTAAAGTGATTAAAAATGCATTGAGTTTAAAGAATGAACCATCATTGTTTATAAAAGTTGCCCAAGTATTAGTTGCAGCTCATCAATATGACGAAGCTATAAAATACTATAGTAAATCAGGTAATGATGGTGCATTGGAAATGGCAAATCTTTTGATCAAATTAAATCAATGTGATATGGCAATTAAAGTTTTAAATAAACTCCCATTAGAAGTTAAAGTTATTCCCATGGCAAATGCTTTGGAAAAAAAAGGTAAATTAAATGAAGCACTTGATTTGTTAAAACAGTGTTCTTATTTAGAAAACCAAGAGTTAAGCAC